AAGTAGTATTGTGTAATTAACTTGAACCATTGTGTATTTAACTCGAATTTTGCTATAATAGGCTCCATTCTTAACTACGGGTCATGCTTAAACCAGGCATTCTTAACCCGAGGACTACCTGTACATCCTTTCACCTTTCTTATTCAACCTGTATGCCAAAGTGAACATGAGGAAGCTGGAATCAAAAATCAGAGTAAAGATTGGAGGAAGAAACATCAACAATCTTTGATATGCTGATGACACAACTCTCCTCTCAGAAACCAAAGAAGGCCTGAAACATCTGGTCAAAAAAATTAAAGAAGAAAGCAAGAAATTTGGCCTCTTCCTGAACATCAAAAAGATCAAGCTTATGGAATGGAAATGCAAAATAGCAATTGACAGCAAAGAGATCGAATGCATGCAAGAATTCACTTTCCTAGGATTGCAGATTGATCAAAGCAGTGAATGCAGTCCAGAAATAAAGTGTCAATTTGCACTGGGTTGCACAGCAATGATGAGCATGAATCGAATATGGAAAAGCAAAGATTAGCCTGGCAGCTAAACGTAGTTTAGTCCACACTATCGTGCTTCCCACAGCTACCTATGGTTGAGAAAATGGACCACAAAAAAAACTAGACAAGAAGAAAATCAACTCGTTCAAGCTGTGGTGTTGGAGAAGGCTCCTGTGCATTCCTTGGTCAGCAAAGATGACAAATAAGCAAGTTCTGGAGCGTACAAAACCAGACCTATCGCTGGAGGGCAAAATCACAAAATTCCCCCTTAATTATTTCGGCCATGTCATGGAATCAAACTCACTGGAAAAGGCAGTTATGCTCAGAATGGTCAGCGGTAAAAGGAAACGAGGCCGTCAAAAACCACAGTGGCTAGGCACCATCAAAGCCGACACCAGCCAGAGCATAAAACAACTAAAAGAAGCTGTATAAGATTGGAAAATGTGGAGAGAGCTGGTCCACAGAATCGCCAAGAATCAGACATGACTGAACGGATAGCATCATCACCATCAAATGTCCATTCAAATGCTTCCTATAGAAACAGACATACCTCACATCAGTATACTTTTGCTGGGAAAATACATTTCTCCTGCTCCTTGGTATGATAAGTGCTGCAACTGGGCACTCAGAAAAAGCAGGAACAGGCAACTGAGGACAGGCAACTACTACTAAATAAGTCCTGATGTTCTGACCTGCCCTCAAGGATTTCTTAGCAGCTTTTGATACTCCTGGACTGATCATTAATGTTGGTCTTGGAGGACACAGTGATATGATGGTTGCAGTTGTGCCTGGAGGAATGGCTTCTAAAAGTAGAACTGTATTAAAGGATCTTATATGCTATCACAATAGTCTGTTCTATCTGCTTCAACTTTTATTATCTGCATGAACTCATTAAAAGCTTTGGACTGACACTCACCTCTATCATTCCTTTCCATTTTCTGTTGTGAAACTTTTGAGCTGGTCTCTGGAGCTGCTGCTTGGTGTGGGGTACAAGCCAAGACTTAACTCAGGCAAGAGGAAAGTACTGTGGGTAAGAAATCCAACACTTCAGGATGATGGCTTACAAGCAGACCTTGGCAAGTTTCCTGGAGTATGGGGAACCTATGGTGGCTGCAATAATTAGGAATTATTCTTACCAGTTTAAACAGACCTATTGAGATAACATCTGGATAGAATGAACCCTGTTTCAGTTTTCCATGTTCTATTGCAATCATCTCCAAACTTAATGCTCTCCAGTACATAGAGTTCAATCCCAGCCTATTGCTGGCTAGGGTATCCTGAGAGCTGGTCCACATTTCTGTAGAGCATCTTTCTAAGGATGGTTCAGAAAAATTTGTATTGATACTGGTAGGTGCAAAGCAACTGAACGCATATATATTTATCAGCTGCGATGGTTATACCAATGTTTCCAGTGTAAAAGTACTGGCAATGGGCTTTAAAGCCCTAAATTCTTAAGGTCCACTTGAATGATTGAGTTTCAGTAGTGGAGGTTCTATAGCATACACCAGCCTGACAGAGAGATCAGCTGATGGACATGAGAAGTAGGGCCTTCCTGAAAATAGCCCTTTGTTTATTAATTTGGTTCCAATTGATACTTACTAGGTTCAATCATTGTAGACCTTTAAGAGGGTCGTTCTTTATATGGTGTTCTGATTATATTGCCAGTTTGATTTTACCATTTTTAAAAGAAAATTGTTGTGTTATGATTATCTAGTTTACATGTTTATACCACCTTGGAAAAGCTCACCCTAAAAGTGATCTGCAAATCTTTCACTGAGATAGCTAAACAGAAATCCGTTCATTCACTCACCTTTCTTTTCCATTATGATACAAGCTATATTCAAGTACCATCAATAGCAGCTTGATGATTTGTCTATAAAACTTCTGCAATCAGTTGGAGATTCCACCAAGTCATTGCCCAGGAACAGTTCTATGAACAATGTGTCAATGGCAGGTACGTTCTTCCCTTGCCTTCTCCTCCCAGTTTCCTCTTGTTCATGATTCAAGATGAATAGGCCCCTACGTGCATGGATCCTTTTTTTATCTCGGTGAGACTCCTTTGCTGGATCTTGACCTGCTGGAACATTCAAGTGTAAGGAACTTTCTAGAGTATCATCTATAAAGGCAGTTCAGCACCATATTCTCTAACTGATGGGGGGGAAAAAACAGCAAGGGATAAACAGACTCTCCTCCCTTCATCTGCACAGTCCTTTATCACATTCACATCCTCAGTATTATGAATCCCCACATAGTTGCCTATTTCATACATTATACTAACGCATGGCTAGCT